AATACATTTCTATTAATTTAAACTAAACACATAGTAGGAATGAAAAATAAAACAGAGAAATGGCTCAGAGACAATAAGCAGGAGACTTGGGCCAGGTAAAAAATTAATATGGATTTATAGACTCTAATAATGAACTGGCAAAGGATAATAAAAATGTTTCTCCTAAGAATCTGAAAAATGCTCTAGATAATATAAAAATCATGAACTTACCTCTGAAATATGATCTTTTAAGATGTAAGGTTAATATGTCAGAAAGAAACATGGAAATTTTAACTTCTTCCTCCTTGAAATCATGCAAATTATGCTATTAAGACAGGTTTGAGACATATTCATCAGGTTCTTTATCATTATTGAAAATGGGGAAAAGACGGTTTGCTTGACAGCAGATTCACCAAAACCCATCACGCTTGTATACTAATCTTAAATATTCTAAGATAAATGAGGCAAGCAACTTTTTGTTTCCTAAAAGTAAAGTGCCTTTCCCTTCATATTATGTTCATGCTCTCTTTGCTTTCACATGATTCACCCACAGGAAAAATCATTTTTTGAATCGTCAGGAGACAAAAAAGGCAAGGCCTATAAACAAAAACTGTCATCACTCTATCTCCCTACTTGACAACACATCTGAGTTCTGAATATCTCCACATGGGCCAACATAACTCATTTCTAAGACCACACTTCACCTGTGATGAAAATACGTTAACTTCCACCGTACTTCCTTGGGCAGTCAGAAAGGTCTGCTTGAGTTCAAAGGGCAGGGATATAACTCTCTATCTTGATGAGGTAGAGGCAAGGTTCTGGAAGAGTCTGAGGGACCTGAAATATTGTTGGCATCATTTTTGAAAAACACATAGGTTTCTTCTGTCAAGTGGGAGAAGGGTAATTATGAAAAGGCAGAAGGGAAAAAAAGAGAACTGGCATAATCCACTGATCATGGAAATGTTCTTTCAGCACATCATTTTAACTAAAGAGTGCATCTGGGATGTGAGGATCTAGATCAAAATCCCCTTAAAGCTATCTTTGCCTTTACAGTTAAATACTCCCAGAAGTACAAACACCCGTGTTTGAAAACCCAGCTATAGATTATACTTCCATTCTTTAATTATATGAATATTTAAGATGCATACTTAACTATAAATTTCCCTAACACAGTTATTTAGCATCTCTGCGGAGGTAAAAATGTGTATTCTGGAACAATTTAAAAAATCATTTTTCATTTAAAAGAATGATCAATTCCTTTCACTCAGCTAAACAAAAATAGGCTAGTAATATAAACAAACCAATATCAATGTCGAAAGACCTTTGATAACTATATACACTACCAACCAGAGCAGTAAAGCAATGTATCTTTCCTGAGGACAAAAATGTTTCTCTTAAAATCAGAAAGGTCAGACCTCAGGAAGATGTTGCTAACTTGGCAGAAGAGAAATTTTACATTTAGTTGTTTAACATTACACTTATAAAGTAGTAAAATAAAATGCACATAAGCCATTAGAACAATTATAATTTGAATGTTTTCCAAATATGATACGAATACATTAGCATAAAACCTTTCTTGACTTCCTTTATTTTTGCCAATAATCCAGTGATCTCCAAGCAATGGCTTAATAATTATTTCTAAATGTCACTTCCTAGAGATAATATTTCTTACCTATTAAGTTCAATAAAAGGTATGCAAAAGTATTGTACTTGCTCTAATTTTCATCATACATCATGACCTCAAATCATCTAGAAAGACGATGTTAGAAAATAAGGACATTCCCTTTAGAACACTGGGGGAAAAATTACTATTCTCTTTATATATAGGAGATAAAGGCAGAGCAATATAGCAGTTATAATCAGAATGTCTGCATCCACTCACCAAATATTTATTAAGCACCTACTATTTTCCAGGCATCATTCTAAGAGCTGAGGATATAGGGGTAAGTGAGAAAGTAACAGCTACCATTTAGAGGGCTTACTATGTGCCAGGCTCTGGCCTAAGAGTTTTCACACATGTAAACCCATTTAATCCTCAAACACAACACCTCTATGACATGGGTACTGTTAAGTTTTTCATTTTACATATAAGAACATTGAGGCACAGAGAAGTTAAATAATTCACCAAGCTAGTAACTGGTAGTAGTAGTCCTGGGTGTCATGGAGCTTTTATTAATCTAAAATCCTTCCCTTCTCGTTTTGTTTTGCCTCTGTGAAAAGACCTAACATACAAATAGAAGTGGTTATGGCTCAAATAGGTGGTGTAACCTTTTCACTTTTAAAGCTTTCTTCCTGGGAATGTTTAAATAAAATTTTAGCTATACTTTCATCATATATTGTGACCCTAAAATATCTAAAAAGCCTGAATGTTATAAGACTTGATTTTGTTTAAATAGTTGGGGAAATTGAAAATCCCCAACATTTTCATTTTTCTCCCCATTACAGTAGGTATAGGTATGTAGCATTCCTTTCTTTGGAAAGCCTTTCTTTAGTCCAGGGAGGCCTGGTGGGGCTGAAGACCATGGGACCCTGCCTCATTGTAGGGGTGAATCCATGTCCAAGCTAATCATGCCACACTGCCTTGATCATAGTTATTGGATTAAGACTCTAAAATTTGACCTAAGCATGGCCAATCTGTCTTCACTGAGATTGACAGAGCTGGGAAATGTTCTCTTCACAATGGAAGTGACTTAAGACTGCTGGTAGCCATCTTCCTGGGCCTCAAGAGAAAATGACTCCACAATACTGAGAGATGTGGAGTAGAGAAATTCAGATGCAGAATTCTTTAATATAGCTATGCAAGAAGTAGGTCTATCCCTGTCCTCTGCAGTTAAATGAGTATAAAGGGTATGAATATTTTTTTAAATTTAAGCTTAAGTGGGTTTCTGTAACTTTCAATCAAGTTTCAATGCATTTTTACAAAAGCATTACATAAAATATGCAGGCAGAACAATGGTTATAATATGAATAGAAATCTCCTTTATTCTTTTCCTTTACCCCCTTTCCCTATGAACAAATAAAGAACTGTCTACAGGACAAAGGACAGTCTATTTCATTTTCAAAAGTAGTATGCAAAATATATACTTACGAATTCTAACTATGTGATTACAAAGCATTATTTTAATAATTCTTTGGCATATGACAAAGCACAATATAGCTAGAAAGACAAAATGTTTTATTTTGAAACATTGGAAAAACATTAAAAGACAAATGTCCGTTATATAACCAAGAATGTTAAGCATTTGGAAACTGTCAATCTTCTAAAATTGGTAGGCACTTCCAGAGAGCTAAATATTGCAAATTATCCTACCATATGTCTTCTCTAACACCAAAAATACTTGATATGATGAAGGAAGACACAACTAATTATTCAAAGTCACCACGTTAGGGTTCAACTTAATTACAAGCAAAAGTTCTGTCCAAGATGTTCCTGACAAATGAAGCTTCCAGTTGAATTTCAGAAATGTTAACAAAAGTATCTTCCTTTTTTGCCTGTGAATGTTTGAGTATTGCTGTACTGTTGGCTTATATCCACTACAGATACTGGTTCTAGGCCAGCCCAAGGGTCTTCAAGCATTGAAGGCTTGAAATAACTTTCCAACTCATTAGACATTCTCTTTTCTCTACCACGCCCTGATCCAAATGGTGTAGATGTCCTTGGAGAACCCTTTAGAAAAAAAATCAGTTAAAAAGACATTTAGTAGAGGTAACTGGTACTTTTTCTTTAGAGGCTAGAGGGGATCACACTGCTAGTTAAAAGTTGTGTCTTGAACCCAAATATGTTCACTTGCAAAGTCCATGCTTCCTTTAATCTAGTGTTTTATTAAAAAACTATTTAAACCTATTTGATATACTAATTTATTGATAGTTTTATGCCCACTGTCACTTCAAAACATTTGGGTTTCTAATGTAATAACTTTCCCAAACTATAAACTGGTGATGAAGTAAGAAATTACTTGTACTGTCGTCTTCCCTCAGTATTTCTCTATTGCTTCTGGAAGCAAATTAAACATTTTTGTTTTTTAACCCTACAGCTTCAAAATTTCTAGAACCCTCCCATCTCATTAGCTCCACACTCAAAGGGATGGGTTTGGTTTAGCAGAAGCTGGAAAACTACCAAGCATATTTAAGATGTAAACCACAGAATCCTAGACATACCAGAAAGAAGCCTTAGAGCAGAAGCCAATGTAGTTGAAGAACTAAGGCCAAAAGGGAAAAAAAAAAAGAAAAGAAAAGAAAAAAAAGGGAAAAGGTGCCATCAGTAGGAAGATGGCACTAGCCTGTAACCCTAGAGCTGAGCCCTATGCTGGGGATTCATTCGCTTTTTTTCCTCCTTGAAGACCGGGGACTCAGAATAATTTACTGCAACGAACTGGCCAGGCCACTGACGAAGGAGAGGGAATTAGGAAAATCTGTTTGAGCGGCAGTGTACTGGCTAAAAGTAGGACTATAGAAACAAAGTACAGCTCTGCAACTTTTTACAGCATTCTAAAGAAAGTTATACTTAACTTCTCTGAGCCTCAGTTTATTCATCTGCGACATGGGGCTAACGATAGTATCTCACTTCATAGAGGATTCAAAATAATCCACGCAAAGGGATTATCAGTACCATGCCTGCCATACAGTAAGAGCTCGGCAAACGCTGGCTATTATTACCTGGGGGTGGGTCTGCTGCTGCCCTGGGGAGTAGCCGAATTGCTGCTGGGACCCCGCGGGGGACTTGGAGTAGTTGCCAGGGTAGCCGCCAGGGGACGGAGACCCGAACCGGCCCCCAGGGAAGCTGCCGCCGTGTCGCGGAGAGTGGCTGCTCCCGTAGGGCCTAGACCTGGGCCCGTACGGCGGCGTGTGGTGTGGACTCCCGTACCCGTCCCGCGGGGATGGCGGCCGCGCTCCGCCTCCGCCCGGGGTACCCCGGAAGTTGCTCCCGCTACCCCAACCTCCTACACCCGGGCTGGGGCAAGGAGGAGTCGGGGGTCGGAAATTCTGTCGGTGCATCTCAGAAGACGAAGAAGAGGACCTCAATGGCGCGTTCTCCCGCCGGAACTGTCGAGACCAACCGTTCACAGACACTTGGTGGTCCTTCACCAAAACAGTCCTCCGCCCGCCAGCACCATAGACTACATTGGTTCCGGCCTCACAAAGGTTCCTCTGGGGCGGCGGGATAAGTAGGTTATCGAATTGGGTACAGATTCAGCTGATTTGAGTGAAGGAAGGAGGAAGAAAAAGGATAAAGGAAAGGGCGAATCCCGGGCCCCAGCAATGGCCTTTGCAGTCTCGCGGGCTTTGGTTGCCACTGACTGACGTACTAGCCGCCTGCCGAACGGATGGAGGGGGGCCTGGAGAGCTCGGCAGGGGCGGGGACCGAGGTGTCCGCGGGCGCCCCCAGTGGCTGCGGGTCGCGAGCGCACTTCGTTCTCCACTCACGCAGGGAAGGAGGATTTCAGAGGGCTTCGCGATGCTGGCGACGCTGGCGACGCTGGCGAGGGTCGCGGCTCTGCGGAGAACCGGCCTTCTGTCCCGCCGGGGCGGCGGGAGGGGGCTGTGGACCGGCCGCCCGCAGTCAGGTATCCTCCGAGATTCGGTCCGGGCGGCGAAAGGGACCCCAGCGCCAGCCTCCCCACTCCGGCGGCATCCTGAGGAGAGCGCCGCGCTTTCCAGAAGTATCCGCTGCCCCCGCCGCCCGCCCTTTGGCCTTTCGCGTCTCCCCTTGCCCTGGCTCCGCGGTCGCCCCGTGGTCACTCTGCCCGGCGTCCGGGCCTGGGTCCGGCCCCTGCGCGGTCCTACTGGGCGGACTCGCCTCTCTCCCTTATTCCTCTCCACTCGTCCCCCAAGTTTAAATACCTTGAAAAATGCACCCCCAGCCACATTTCAGGAAGGGTTTCAGACTGCACTTTATTTATTATTATTATTATGTTTTACATCTTTATTGGAGTATAATTGCTTTACAGTGGTGTGTTAGTCTCTGCTTTATAACAAAGTGAATCAGCTATACATACACATATGTTCCCATATATCTTCCCTCTTGCGTCTCCCCCCCTCCCCCCATCCCTATCCTACCCCTCCAGGCGGTCACAAAGCACCGAGCTGATCTCCCTGTGCTATGCGGCTGCACTTTAAATAACTCGGGGGCGAGGCTGTGCTCGCAGAGGTCGGACTTTACTCCCTTCCTTGTTCATCTCCCTGTGCGGCTGCACTTTAAATAACTCGGGGGCGAGGCTGTGCTCGCAGAGGTCGGACTTTACTCCCTTCCTTGTTCTTGTTAAATGCAAGCGGGTAAGCGAGTTGGTTAGGAAGCAGAGAGCCTGATTTTCAAAATTAGCAACATTTGGCTAAAGCTCTTAAAATAATAATCGTTTCACAGACTTTTGGTTAAAAAGAAAAGTGTGATCATTCAAGAATGACCCCTAATGTATAAACCCACCTTTGTACCGAATACCTGTCTCAGAATTTTATTTAGAAGATGAAATTTAGATTTACTGCAGTTTTCTAGAACTTTCTTTACACCCTCCGAATCTGGGAATGATAGGCCACTGTGAGTCTTGAATTCATCTTGTAGGAAACAATCTTGAAGACTTTTCGGACTCATTTAATCATAGCCTAATGGGTAGCCTGGACCTGTGCTTTTCAGCCTGTGAACCTTGCAGGTGCCACTCCTCACTGTCCGTTTGACACGTTCTGTGACGTGGCAAAGCCGAAGAATGGGATGTTTTCTCAGCTTGATGAATGGAGATATACACACACTTATCTGTGGTTGTTTTTTCTGAGGGAATTCGGTTCATCAAGCTTTTACTTTAGATACAAGTTGTAGAATCAATCAAGGCAGGATAATGCCATCAAGGCTTTGTGATGCAGTTAAGGCCAGGGGATCCCAGATTATTCACTTTATTATATACTTTTGTCCTGGCCAAAGCTAAGCACCTTTCTGGACATTGTCTTTGGTGCTTAGCTTAATGCCTGGTAATTGAGCTGTCAGATATTTATTGAATGAATGAGTGGGTCACATCATATTGGTCAGTGATTCTCACCTATAATACCCCCTTTAATATCATCAACTAATCTACATTTTGTGGGGAGGGAGCAGAAAAATGAGGGTGGCAAGGATGAAAATTACCTTTGTTAATTTTTAAATAACTGGCGAATGTTTCGCAGAATTGAGTGTAGTACTGTAAGTTGTCATTTTACTTGCCTTACACTTCTGGAATGCTCTTTCCTATAGTGATACACTGCTATCTTCTACACATATGAACTTGCATTAGAAACGGGGGAGGTAGATTTTGACAGGTAGATTGCACATGACAGTGTGCCTGTCATCATGTTTTCAGGTATATATGAGGATTGAGGGAGAGTACATTCTTAATTATATGAAAACTCCAGATTCCACTTGGATCACTTCTGAGAATAGGCAACTTGCCTTTTCACAGATGAGAAATTGTCCAAGAAAAGTGAAGTGACTTGCTTGAATTCACATAGCAAATGGATGTGGGACCAGAACTCAGGCTTCTTGAATCCCAGGCAGTTGTCTTTTTTCCTAGGTAAAGAAATATGAATTAATACTCAGTCCGTCCTTTGAAAAATGCAATAGATAAATAAGCATGTAAAATTCTGATAGTGGTACTGCGTAGCATATTATTTTAGATATTTAGAGATTAGTAGATAGAACCTTAGTATTGAACTTTTGTGAATGTACCTAGAATCTTCCGGAGTATTAACCTGGGAATTGCAGTCTGGCTGCCTGAACTGGTGGGTCTGAGGTCCCCAGACACATACTTGTGTTGGTTATTTGTGTGGTGGTGAGTTCAGGGGAAGAGAGATGAAGGAAGTTTTATGTTGCATTACCTGGAAATAGAAAAGTGAATTGGGATGATGTGTATGAGAGTTTGGTGGCTGTCCCATGAACTAAGTCTGAGTCCTGTGGAGAGAAAAGAGCACTTTTGTGAGTAACACAGGTATTGTTCCCACAAAAAGAGAATTGCAGCACTCTTTAGGGAGGACCAGCATTAGAAAATAGGATCCTCAGTAGGATAGTGCTTTTATTGAAGACACTGTTAGTGGCTAGGTGCTGTCTTCAAGTGGCATTGTACACAGAGGACATCAACAGGCAAAACATCAAGGAACTTTCTCAGTACCCATGAGTTATATGGGGAGCCCCCAGATTAATTGGTTAACTTTGTGGTGGTGCATGTTTTATAAGTTTTACTTTTATAAGAGTACCACTAAGGAAATTTAAGTGTAAGTGAAAATGGGGCCTTGTCTATTTCTATAAGACTGAGGATCTTTATTTGGGTTATGTAAGATTTTTTGGTGTGTCTTTTTTCAGTAGATTAAACAAATTTTTTTTTTTTTTGTAGAGCCTTTATGAGAGCAGATGGCTTTGTGTTTGAAGCAGGAATTGGGGTCTCGTAGCTGCTCACTCTGTCCCCTACTTTAACTGCCTCCCTGAAAAGACACTTCTGGGGCACTGCTAAGGAATTCCTAGGGCTCTCCAGAAAGGGTTTGAAAGCCAATATTTTAGGTAGCTGTCAGGTATTAATGAGTGCTGCAAAAGTAAATACTTTGGTTAGTTTTACTGCTTATTACCAAGGTGTAAATATTTTCATGTTTCTGCATGGTCAGGGCTTTCTAAGCCAAGGAAACTAGAGCCTGGGTTAAAGGGCAAGCCTTGGAAGTTAAAGGATGACTGAAATGATTGTTAGAGAACTCTCAGGAAGTTTATGTTTATATTTCAAAGGGGTATAAAACTCAGAGCCTTGGAGACATTCCCAAGATCGAGATTGTAAACCCAGGGAAGTTTATCTTTCCCCCTGGAGACATTTATTTATATTCCAAAGGCTTAGAACCCAGGGACCATCCCCTTTTCTTCTGAAGGAGAATTTGCTTACATTAGGGAGATAAGCTTTCTCTGCTTTTCTTGGGGGAAGGTGGCTGCTGGGCAGCTATCCCATACAAACTAATAGATTTATAATTTTGGGGACCTATCCTGTGGTTCATTCCTTGTATGTGCACGCCTAGTCCACCAGCTCTCATTATGACACCTGTGGCATATTAGGTGTGGGAAAAATGGTGCATTTCTTGATGTAAGTAATAATAACTCTGATCTCTGCTTCAAAAACCTCATGTTTTTGAATACATATAGATATTAAAAAGTTTATATATATATATATATATATATATATTTTTTTTTTGCCACGCCACACAGCCTATAGAATCTTAGTTCCCTGACCAGGGATCGAACCTGTGCCCCCCTGCGTTGGAAACACAGAGTCTTAACCACTGAGCCACCAGGGAGGTCCCCCCAAAAATGTATTTTTGATGATGAAAGCACTTCTTAGGACAGAAGAATGTATTCAATAGTTTCTATGTATAGAAATTTTTGTTCTGATTTTAGTATATGTGCTGCTGAAGGGAGCCCTAGAAATGCTTGTACAGTCATCCCTTGGTATCTGCAGGGGATTGGTTCCAGGAACCCCCTTTGGATACCAAAAACTGAGGGTGCTCAAGTCCCTTACTATATAAAATGGTTTAGTATTTGCATATAACTATACAACCTGTGTATACCTAAAATCATCTCCATATTACTTATAATATCTGATACAATATAAATGATATGTAAATAGTTGACGATATGGTGCAACTGCTATGTAAATAGTTGTGGGAGGTGCAGCATATTCAAATCGTGCTTTTCGGAATTTCTTGGCATTTTTTTCTCCCAAATATTTTTGGTACACTGCTGGTTGAGTCTGCAGTTGGGGAACCCACAGATACAGAGGGCCTACTGTATGTATACTTAGCATAAGCTTTATCTTAATATTTCCTGAAGCCTTTCAGGTTACCTCAGTTTTCCTTATATAGGTTCTGTTGTCAGCTGTTCCATGTTGAAGACTGTCAGTCGTAAAGGCATCTCTGGGATTGATTAGCTCATTTACTGATAAGGTGAGGCCTGCCTTGAATGCAGTAGACCACTTAACTATCACTTATGTAATGTTCTCATTGATAAAGCAGGCATTCGAAGTAACTTGTTTTTGCCTCTGAGAGCCAGACTACTGTTAATGATCTTCTTTTCAATTCTAAGCATGTATCCACCATCCATAGTAGTCAAGCACAGGTGAAAAGTATTATAAATGTTTATTTCTTTTAGACTAATATTCTTCACCCATGTGTAATGCAAGTGTTAATGCATTAACTAACACTTATAAAAGTTTTCATTGAAAATAATAAAATTGTTGACAGAATACTTTGACATGAAGAAAAATGTAAGAGTATGATTATTCTTTTCCAGACACAAATGTTTGTTTTAAAAGGTGTAAGTAAAATTTTAATGTCGCCAGAACTGGTATCTTTGTATTTTTCCAGTTGTAAAAACAATACGTACCTTTTGTAGAAAACCTGAAATGTTTAGGAAAATAGAAGGCAAGAAAAAATATTAGTCTCTTATCTAAGAAGCAAATACTTAATATATAAATAGAAAAAATAAACCTCACATACTTTAAATTGGAAAATAAAAGCTTTTTAAAAGGGAAAACCAACTATACATGAGTATATAATGTGGGGTTGGAAAAACATGATA